CCAGGACACGCTGCCCGGGAAGCAGGGAGGCGAGGCTGTGGCCAGGCCACTTGTCACAGCGCAGGAGCCCCAGCCTAGGGTGCGGGATGCCACAGGCATCCCCTCTTTCACCCTCTAGCCCGCACCAGGGGTCAACTAGCTCCATTGCCACCCACACAAACCAGAGTCACCACAGCCACAGCCAGCATGCTCTGGCCCACATAAGACAGGTCCTGAAGCCCCTTGCCCTCCTCCTGCTGCCCACAGCACGGCCCAGGCCAAAGCCATGCTCTGCTTCACACTGTGGCTGTGGAGTATGGCACAGCCCCAGCCCCACCCTCAGCCCACAGCGTGGGGCAGTATGTGGTGCCCCAGCTGCTGCCTGTGCTTCCTCATGAGGTGCACCTCATGCTGGAGGCCATCCCTACCATGTCCTCACAGACCACCATCCTGTAGCCCACAGGAGCAGCTGGAGGCCTCCCTCCAGCATGCCTGGTGGGCGGGGCAGGGGGCTGCAGATCTGGAGTGAGGGGCACCAGCAATGGACACAGGGCTGTAGGTTGGGAGTGAGGGGCATCAGCATGGCCCAACGCAGTGGAGGACTGCAAGTCAGAAGTGAGGGGCACCAGCAGGGACAAAAGGCTGCATGTTAGGAGTGAGAGATACCAGGGGGATGGAGGACTATGAGTTGGGAGTGAGGAGCCCTGCAGGTCATGAGTGAGGTACCAGCAGGGATGAGGGGCTGCAGGTCAGGAGTAAGGGGCACCAGCAGGGATGTGGGGGCTGTCGTTTGGGAGTGAGGGGCAATGGCATGGGCAGGACACTGGCATATCAGGGCTGTTCAGCACTACAAAGCAGTGGGGGACAGTCACAACTGGACCCACATCCTGGTGAATGAAGGGAACAGGGGGAACTCTGATTTTCTGTGATTAAAAAAACCCAAAAATCAAACACCAAGATATACAGGTATTTAGAATGGATTTTATTATAGTGACTGAGGCACTGAAAGGCTTCCAAATAGCCTTAAAATTGTAATGAAATCAATCAAACACTGGTAAACTGATTAACTGTATATATAGTGGGATTTCATTTTAATTATGGAAAAAAGATTTTTGGGGTTTTTGATCAGAGAATTTGCAGGGGGGTTTAAATCAGAGAATTTGAGTTTTTTAAACAGAGAAAACTAGGATCCATGATCATGATTAATTAACCATAGCTGGACTCCTCCTAGTACCCAAGCTAGCTCATTTAAAAGTAGCTTGGATGCTGCTCTGCTAAACTTCAGTGTAACCATACCTTAAATTAGAACAGTATCATTTGAAAGGTGGGCGGAGAGGGAAAATGTATCTACTAGGTAGAGTTCTGTCAACTGGCTTCAGTATGTGAATCTGGCAAGTCTCATAACATTTCATTGCCCTAGTTTAACAAATCTGAAAAAAAAAACTACATGCCACTTCACAGAGGTCTTCTGAGGCTCAACAAATCAACCGATGCTCACAAAGCACAGACAACTATAGAAGATCAACATTTCAGAGCTCTGTGTAAAATTTATTTTAGAAACTCATTATTAACATCTCTTCCCCTCCTTTATCAAAAATATGTTTCAGATACCTTTCATAGAAATATGTATACTCCAAGTTATTTACCATCCCCATTTCACAGGAATGGAAATGTGGCCAAAACCAACTCCAACGAGCACAAGGAGCAGAAAATTATTGACAGAAATATGTATACAACTGAAGGCCATGCAGTATATTAGGGGCAGAACTGTGATCAGAATTCAGGACTCCAGTCTTAGCCTCAACAAACTAAGCAATGAAATTTGCTTTGAAAGTATGAATGATACTATGGTCAAATATGGATGCAAAGCATTCTTATTACATTTAATACATTTTTTGAAGACCGGTTATAGAGATCAGCGCAAAATCCTGGCCCTAATAATATCAGTGAAACGTCACTGATTTCACTGGGGACAAGCATCTCTCATTCCTGCTCGTCCCTAAATCAGTGAAGTTAATCAGAGATTTAATTTAATTGGAAATTACCTCAATTGGAAGCGAAACAAATCAGACACTATGTGCATGACCACAGACTACAAAACAACATCATTCTTAAACGCATTCTCTTTCTCTCTTGGGACTTCATTTTTATTGATTCCTCAATAAAGTATAGATACACAAGCTGTCTTATCAATATTTGAATCAATTTCCATGTTATATTATGTAGGACACAAAATTTTTATGCTGGAAGAAAATTGCTTAACATCTTGAAAATGAGGCATCATATAAATGAAGAGAATAAAGCTAAACAACATAATAGTAGAGGATTAGATTCCTAGTGTTTATGATTCATGTCAATCTCTGTTCTAGGATGACTCATGATTTAACATTGCCTATTCCCTAGTAACAGTCAGATCTGCACATGCTTTTCTCTGAAAATTGATTTAAGTGAGGTATCTTGTGGGCTGAAGCACTTAACTGATGTTTTTGTGACTCTTCCACAGTTGAAAAATGTGTTTAAATTAAGTTCTTTATATTTTCTGTGATTCAGCCATGATAGTTACAAAAGACGGCATCTTCAGCACAATTCATGACATTTTTCCTGCCTACAGGCCTAATCAAATCACATGGAAAGCAATGGCTGATTTTTTGCTAAACTGCAGAGAGGGTGGAATCAAAATTTAAATGAGATGCATTTTGGATGTACATATTATTTTACAAAATTCAAGAGTATTTCATCTCTACATACACCTTTGATGTGGGACTAACAGGGAGCTAAATATGTTTGTTCATATATGTTTGCTGTAAACTAAATCTTCCAGTGCAAATTTTTGTACCCAAGCACCTTATGTGGATTTCAGACAGTTCATGGATGGCTACTGAAATGTTTCAGAGCAGTTTTGTGAAACCATTATAAATAATTACATAATAGTAAAAATTAATAATTTAACATAATTAAAATATTGATTATTTATTTAATTTTGTATGAAGTATTACTGTATTCTGGGAGCCACTGTTGTTTTTGTTGTTGTCGTTGGTTTTTGTTTTTTGTTTTTTTTACAAAAAATATAAAGTTTTGGCTTCATCCCAAATCAGAGTAGGAGAATACTTGAAATGTTGAAGAGTTCAGGAAGATGTGAAATCCATTTCCTGCCCATTTCTCTGTCTCCAGGCCCTTCACAAATTAGTTTATTTTCACACCTCCTCTGTGATATGGGGGAGTATTATTAACCCCAAGTTACAGATCAAGAACTACGGTAGAGAGAGAGACTGAGATTAAAATCATTCACAAATGATGAGTGCCTAGGATCTGTTTTTTAAGTTAACATTATATAGAACTTTTTGTATTCAAAACAGTTTTCATTGACTTCAGTTACACTTGTGAGTGCTCGAGACCACTCAATTGGTGACCGTTTGTGAAAAATTTGAGTTAAGTGATGTGGTTATTGGTTACAAGGAAACTGAGGCTTAGGCAGGGATTGAATCTAATTCTCCAGGACAATAGTCAGCTGTTTTAACCATAATATTGTAATTTCTCTGTCTCTGCAGTCCTCTGGTTCACTCACTTTTTCAACAAATGAGACAAGGTTCCTACAGACAAGTGTCTCTCTCACTAACCAATCTTTACTAATATATAGAGCAAAACCATTCTGTGCAACTGAATGAGACAGAAATCTGATGGGAAAAATAGGTGTGGTAAAACATGAACAAGCATCACAAGACATAATGTACAGGAGGGTTGAGCTAAAATTGGATGCAAAACCTTATTTTTGACATTTCCTAACTTCCAAGCACTTGACATGCATATCAACAGTAATTTTATTTTAAACATATTTGCATGTAATTTCGTAGGATTAAAAATGAAAGCAAACAGAAAATAAGAAATGTAATTATACGCCATCACCTTAACACCCTCTTGGGTCATCAATAGTTACCACTGAAAAGACCTCTGTCAGCTAACCTCTTCAAATAAATTATATATTTTGGTATACCAGAGGATGGTAAACTTTACTAGTGGGTCTCATGGACATTTCTGCTGACAGCTGAGGAAGGGTAAAACTTGAGGGGCATCTTTATACATGCTCCAGGGTGGAAGGAGGAGTGAATGGGGGAGGGGGAGGAGGAACTTTAATTAGAGCGGCTCTCAAATTAAAGCGACTGCAGCGTCACGTGTATTTAGCATCCCACACTTAAAAATGGCAGTGGGGGCGTTTTAAGTAAAGCTCCTTCTATGAGCTTTAGTTAAAGTGTCCCCCACTGTCATTCTAAAGCACAGGGACACTGAATACATAATGCAGAAGCTGCTGAAGCATGCTAATTAGCACACTCCAACAGACGCAATTAATTGAGTCTGTTCCAACATGTGCTAAGTATGGGTCGGAGCAGATGTCCAGCACCTATACAGGTGCCTGAGAACTTTGGGTTCTATCCCAGGTTCACAAGATGAGTGCTCTAACAGGCTTCTCTGCCCTGGTACCCTGGGTGAGAATCATTACTATGAACAATACCAGACTATTCTTAAGAAAATCATTAGATAACCATTTTTCATTTGTAAAGTAGAACACAGAGTTTTGAATGTAAAAAACTTGAGCAGAGTCAGTGACAGATGTAATGCAGGGAAATACTGATCAGCACCCTAGCCCCTCAAACCAGATAGAAATACTGAAATACAAATTTAAGGTATAGTATGCAAGACCACAATACAATCTTTAAAAAGCATATGAAGCCCAAGCATTTGAATATACCATCTCTCAGACCTAAGTTAGGGTATACACAAACATCTAAGCAAGGAAAACACAGTGTGACCATATAGACACAAACCAATTAATTCTGTTTTACAGGCTGTGACAAATTCCCTTTGAAGAGTCATGCTTAAGCATAGTCATAACTCTAGTCAATCACTTACAAGCTCATCTTTCGTGACTGGCTATCTTTATTCCCATTGTTTTTTTGATCAACTGAGTTAACTGAATTGCGGGAGGAAGTTGCTAAGGAGGAACTGGAAGGAAAGGCAACATTCCCAATATTGCTGGTGGAACGAGTCCGGAATGAATCTTCTGTAAGAAAGAAATAGGAAATTAAACGTAAATCAAACGTATTGTGACTGGGTTTAGCAAGTTTTGTACTGTGGTCTGACAAAATCATTTCAGCAGTAAGTAAAATACTAATTAAACATTTCAATCAGGTGTTGCATAGTCTTTCCTTTATTAGTGTCAAAATACTAATGGCTTTGACACTTATATATTTTTGGGTAGATCCATGTGAAATTAATTAACTTCAAGGCCAAAATATATCTAGACACTTCTTTTCAAAATTGGGCCTCCCTTTCGACATCCAAAAAATATGAATACAAACACCTGAAAACATAATTTTAATCATTTCAATGACAAATTACTGTTTTAAAAAAAAAACTCAGTCCAAATGCATATTCAAGTATCTACTATGCTTTAAATATGACTGTTTTAGCAAATGTATAACACAAAGTAACTCAAACTAGAAAAATATGTTAAGAACTAATCAGTGCAAAAATATGGACATTTTTCTTTATTTACTGAGTATTAAGGTGTCTTTTTCTGGTTAATCTATAGGATTGCATACTGAATATTACTTGTGAAGTACTATTCAAAGTAGTTTAATTTTTAAAAAAAAGCTTAAAAATCAAGGGACAACTAACAATTACAAAAGGTAACTTTAATGGTTTTGGATACTGAAATGACACGTTTAGCCACAGAACATATTTAGAATAGATAGTAGGAGTGAGAACTCATTCTTTCTGTTCACAGCAGCTGTTAGACAAAGGCAGACCAGCACACTTTATTTCCCTGGATTTCAGCAAAAGTTGTGACATTATGGGTGACAGAAAATGATTAGCCAAACTAGATAGGATGGGAACATTGGTGGAATCATAAAATGGGGAAGATGGTGGTTAAAATGAAGGAGAAAACAATGGGTCACAATGACATGTGAATTGTTAGGTTGGAGACTGGTTACTAGTGGTGACCTCCTCAGGGGTCAGTCTTGGGATCCATCCTGTTTTACAATTTTATTAGTGACCATCAAGAAGGAATTAAATGTGTGCTCATGAAATGTGTGGGTAACAAGCAATAATGACAATATGGAGGAGTGGAGTAACAGAAAGGTTATGTTACTTAATAGCATAAAGTGCTAACTCAGCAGGGGCCAATGTTCTTGGCAGCTGCACAATAAGGTCAAACCTGCAGCACTCCAACCCCTTTCCCCTGCCCAATCTGTTGCTCTGCTTTCTACTTCCTGCCTTATGCTTCTTGCCCAATCTGTTGCTCTGATGCCTGCTCCCTGCCATATTTACTGCTATGTTTCCCACTGCCTCCTTCATCTCCTATGTCCCACATAGAGAGGTTACCTGTGCCACTTGTGTCCCACATGCCCTGGGACTGGCTAGCCTTGCCCCATGCTAAGCCATGCATTTAGGGCCCCCTGCATGGGAAAGGAAGAAATTCTCTTTTCTCTTCTCAAGTAAATGCTTTGTGTCTTAGGGCTTTTTGGTATTTTGTTTATTGTTTACTTCCTTCAAAGTACCGGGCAGTGGCCACAGATAAAGGTGGCAGTTTTGACTTGGTTAAATTTGTTGCTTTTGCCAGTACACAGAAACCTCTCTTGTACCCAAATGAAGGGTTCTGTTCTTCTGCCCAGGGTCAAATAATCTTTCTTGAGACTAACTTTGCTAACTGGAATCATTATTTCTAGTATCCTGAGTCCACCGCTTACACAAGTCTCCATCATCTGTTTATCTGTTTCTCAATTAAGTTCTTCTGAATTTTGTATCAGTGGGAGCCAATCTTTCTGTCAGGTGCAGGTGTACCACAAATTAGCCCCAGACTACCCCCGAGTGCCATTCCAATCCCTTTCCCTTACACAATCTGCAGCTCAGCTTTCTACTCCCTGCCCAAACTGCTGTTCTGTTTTCTTCCCCCTGCCTAACCTGATGCTGTTTTTTGCTCCCTGCCCTGTCTGTCATTGCACTCCCCAATCTGCCGCATGCCAAACACAGTCTGCCCGTACTACTTGCGGTGCTGTAACAGGGCCCCTACCCCATTACTAGAAGAGGGAAAGGGTCTGGGGTGCTTGGCCCTCTCCTCCTCTCTCAGTTTGTCCCCTTTTCTTTGTTGTTTTCCTTTTTTTTTCCTACTCATAGTCTCTTTATGCTGCTGGAGTCAAATTAACAGTCAGAAAAGCCTGAGACAAGACAGCCACAGAGTCCAGGTGCATGGAAGTGCCTGACTGCCCAGGGGTGGAAATGGAGGGTCTGGTGACCCAGAAGACACTTTATAAGCCCAACCTCCCAGCTAGAGAGGCAATCTGACTGTAAGAGCTATAGTGAGCAGAGCTCTGGAGCTGAGGGCCCAGGGGCTGAACCAGGGCTGAGGGACAGATTCAGAAGAACAGCCTAAGAACCCTTACTTGGATTGAGATAAGTACTCTTGAGTCTTTTTATGTTTTGTTTTTGCAAGCATCACTGCAGAGTGAGGAAAACCCAGCCAGGGTGTTTTGTTTGAGCTAGGGCAGGCACCTGTGTGTGTGGTTTTCTATTTCATCTGATGCTTGTGGCTGTAAGGGGAATGTGCAGAGGCCACTGAAAAGAGTGCCTGGGGACACCCCGAACCTCAGACTTGGCATTAAGAGGACAGAAGGCAGAGACTGGGGATAAGTAGAGGCCATGAGGGGCAAAACCTGCTGGAGTCAGGATTGGAACGTGTCCTGACCCATGTCCCCAAGGCCTGTGTAAGACTCTCATGGGGCCCAGAACCCGAGGTCATGAGTGCATGACTAAAGCTGAGCCAGAAGCTTGCAGTCCTGGGCAGTGGACTCCAAGCTAGAGGGCACAGCAAGAGTAAAAGTGGGATGAGCCCGGGGGAGTTGTGATCCAGACAAAGCTCTCTTCACCCTTAGGGCAGCCTTTCCATCAATTTACTGCATCAAGGCGTGGCAGGAGAGAGTATGAAGGCGAGGAAACTCTGAGGAGACAAGGGGCATTAACAGGTAGGGACCCCTTAAGGCAGCTGCACCACACTGGCACCAGTAGATGCCCTACAGGCATCCCATGCCACAGGCTGGCTGCCCACTGCTTTACGATGCTGCTCTTACATGCTTAGAATATACCCTGAAGGTATGGACCCACATACCCTTGAAGAGGCCTCAAAACATGGGAAGCTGCTGCTTGGAACTGTGCAGCAGTTGTTACACTGTCACTTACAAGTGTATGATCCTGTAGCAATACAGGCGAGTTAAAAATCACTATAACTTTGACCTTGTATGATACAGGGTAAAAGCTAGAATGGTTTTGTAATAGACCTGCCTAGGCTGGGTAACATAGCCCTCTTAAAGCCACTTTAGGTGTACATTTGTCCATACTCTGAGCATTAATCTGGACAGATGCTGTATTTCAAATCCATCTCAAAATGTATTTCCATTAACGCTCCTATGACAAAGTGCCAATGATAGGCAAGTGGCTAGTAGACATTACTAATATTTTTTTTTATTATTATTATTTTGACCTGAAAACTTGAGAATTACCAACTGCATTCCAAACAGCATGCTCTCATCCATTTCTGGACAATAGAGCCCTGATCTTCATCAGGGCTTATAGGAACTACTGTAATAGAAACAAACCAACAGTAAAATATTACTTACCACTAAATGGTAGTATAGAACCCTTTCCAACTCCTGATATAGAAGAGGAATATCCTGCTGCAGAACTTTTACTAAAATGATAATAATAAAAAAGATAAATTGCTTTGTATAGAGAAGAGTTTCTTTAAATTGTATATTCTGGTTTCATTGTAATATTTATAGTTCTAAACTTATGTGAATTAAATTTGACAGAAGGTAGTCTCTAAGGTGCCACCATGTCCTAAGTGGTTCAGAGAGGCACGAAATGTGTATGTAACAATCTACTACTTTAGCTATGATCTAATGAAGTAGGTTGTTACCTATGAAAGTTCATGCCTCTCAAACAGTCTCTAAGAGTAACTGTACATGAGCACAGAGGCTTCTGCAATGTGCTGTAATTACAGCATGTTGCACCAGACTCAATTAAGTCTGCTGCAGCATGGTAATTATCGTGCTCCTGTAGCCTTCTGCATCTCGTGTATCAGTGTACCCATGCTTCAAAATGGCAGCGGGGGCACCTGAACTAAAGCTTGTTTTATGTGCTTTAGTTCAAGCGCCCCCACCACCATTTTGAAACACAAGGATGCTGCAGTGCTTTAATTAGAGCCGCTCTTGGAGCCACTCTCATTAAAGCACTGCCCCTCCCCTCACCCCCAGAGCATGTGTAAAAGGGCCCTAAGGTTCCACCCTGTCCAACCTGCCAGACTTCAGATTAATATAGCTAACCACCTCTATGCTTCATTAAATTTGAGAAATTGTTGCCTTTAAAAAAAATTAACTAATTTGCAGGTGGCTATCAAAACTGAGGAAAAAGTTGTTTTGTTTTTTAAATACAAGACAGAAGTTAAAGTACTTCAAATCAACCATAAGAATTTATAGACTTACATTTGCATTAAAATGATCTCTTTACTCAAATATAACTTTTTACTATTCAACTAAAACTTGCTGACTGAGGCCATAATTCATCAGAATTAAACACATGATTAATATTAAGCACATGAGCAGACTCATATACTCAATTATCTTGCTTAAACATGACCATAAGCATTTGTTACATATGAAGAAAAAGCTGACATGCAATCCACATAAGCATGTGTCACAATAACAGCAGATGGGGCATGTGCATACAGTGGATAACTGCTGCACAACTGTTATCCCACTATTCTGGCTGGAAGTAGCCAGAAGAGATCAGGTTAGAATAATGTAGGTACAATGAGTATTAGGGGATAATGAGTAAAAAACCCAGAAAACCTCAAGGTTTATTTTGAGTTGTGAGATGAAATAGCTGATACATATGGGAGACTTTCCTACATTGCATGGACACAGCACTCTTATGATGTTACACCTCTTTTCACATGTATGCAAGGCAGTGGCTAACCAGATTTCAGGATATGCGTGCATATTTATATCACAAGTAGCATGCATTTGATTTTGGGACTGAAATGTATTAGATAAGTAATTAAAAGTGAAGAAAGAAATACTTAGGACACTTGTCAATGTTGCCATATTTTGGATGCAATGCTTGAGTACTGAAAGACTGGCTTCGAACCAACTTGGATTTCTTGCCTTCTTTGCCTAAAACAAGTAACAAATATATTTTGAAAGGGAGACAATTATTGCATCTTTTATGGGGGTTATTTTTGTGGGGGGCTAGTAGATAAGCACATCTTTTTAGTTTGAATCTTTTAGCATACATTCACTGAAGGATCAGAACAGTAGTACAGCAATAAATCCTAATTATTCTTCCCATCATGAACTACCAAACAGAACAAACATGAATATATTCCATATTAAGGGAAGAAAAAACATCCATTCTTCAACTGCATCACTTTTTTATGTGCACATGAAGCAAGATTCTGACTCAAAGACAACAATAGCTTTGTCTATTTTTTTACTTGCATAGGAAAGGTGGAAGCATTCAACAAGAACTTTCTAAAGAATTGTTTCTTACTTGTTGATGGAGTTGAGCTTCCAGAAACAGAAAGAGGTATATTTTTTGCCAAAGCTGATGATGTTTTACTGTCTCTACCTAAAACAAAGTCTAGTGTAAGTACTCCATTTTGCTGTGCAGCCTTCTTTTAAATAAAGAGGTAAAGCACCACACACAACGTTTTGAGGCTGGTAGCAGCTCTGGAATATGATAGGCAGATAATTATGCTGCTTCAGGGGAGAACGTCGTGGTGTTTCCTTAACAATATTAATTTATTTTGCATGACACATGCCACCACCGTCTCAAAAAAATAAAAGCAAAAAGGAACCCACAAAACAAACAAACAGCTTACGCTTCTTTTCGAACATTTTATCACTGATGTTGGCAGACCTCCCCTCATTCTGCTGCTTCTCTTTTTCTAATTGTTCCTATTACAAAAACAATGTTATTAATATAAGAATTTATACTTCACATATGCTGGAAGCCTCCAGTAATGAATGTGCTTCCAACTCACTAATCTAGAAATTAACTTGTCTCTCTTAATACTTTTAACTGAGTCCTCTCTAATCAGTAGTACTTTCATACATCTATTGATGAATAGCCTCTAGAGCCAATTAAACAGCACTGTGTAATCTGAGCATGCTTTTCCAGTAAAAGAGATCATACCCAAAAAACAATGGTAATGCAACAAAGGTAATTACAAAGGATTCAGGAACTTCAGAGTTAAGGATCTACGTCATTAAAGCTTGTTAAATAATATATGCACGGTATGTCCTTTCAATTTTTCAAAGGACACGTGAAACAACAAAGCAAACATTCTTCATATATGTAAGCTAGGTGAGACATTTTAAAGTAAAGCTGCTTTTGAATGTAGCAAGCACAGCTAAGGTTCTGAAAAAATCTTAAGAGTGGAAAAATATTCGTTTAGATGCCAGTAACATAACAGTTACAACATTTTTATTAAACTCTCATGAAGTTGCTTTCAGACTGTGATCAAGCAGGAGAAATATTAACTAGAACAGTTACTGTTTGAACAAAAGGGTATGAGACAAAGCTGGCAGTGTAAAATGGAAAAACTATGTGCTTTACTGATTTTATGTTTCTTAAGATGTATAGAAAATGTAAGGTCTGACTAATGAATGGTCCAAGGGTACAAAATAAGAGATGGACAATATTTAATTTCAAAAATCACACAATGTTGTTTAAACTGCTATATTTTCTCAAGCAACAAACTGAGCATTTAAAATTGAGAAGCCATTGTTGAAAATGAGGCAACTGAACTAGGTATTATTTCTTGTATTTTGTGAAACTCAATTTTATGACTATAATACTAGCTGGCTTTATAACATACAGCTTATATAATTATATATCTATGCATCAATCAAGTTGAGTTTTGGTCTAATTATTATTTCCATTTGCTCATTGGGCCTACTTGATGAATAACTATGAGCACTGCCTTAAAGACTGCATAACATTAATTGTTTTGCTTCCTTGTAGCACACTTCATAATGTGTCATCCGAACCTAGAAAATTGCATTTTTCCCTTTTAATTCGTACTGCCATTACTATCGAACGTAAAAAGTAAGTAAATAAATTTTCATTAACTCAGGGTCAAGGTTGTTCAAGTGCAATACCCACTGAGTTACTGAAATCAAGGAAATCAACTGTTTAGCCACTGCTAACATGCCTACATACTCCTTATAATGCTCATAGCCTTCTCAACTACCCAGACCTACTAATGTCCAGTTCTAGCACACATCCAGTTCCTCAAAATCACACTCAAGCATACTGCTTTAAATCCAACCTCAGAGAGACCAAGAGTATGTCTACACTGCACATTGCAGTACAATGTTAAAATAACCACTTAGCTCTAAATGGTTTGGGTACCAGAAACAGTCTAGCCATGGTAGCATGCTTCTCAGCATGCAGTGTAAACGTGCCTACAGACATTTTCATCATCACTCCATTCTTTTATAATGGCAGCAGACAATGTGCTACTTCTAACCAGAAAGTTCTGTGGCCAAATTAAGCTGGCAGCACATGGAGTGTGTAGCTCTGGCTTGAGAACAACTAAAAATGACCGTATGAATTTGGAGTGAGATTGCTGGGGAGCGTGTCAAGCTTGATATGGCAAGAATTTAACAGGGGACATTCAGAAGATGAGGGGTTGGGACTCTGCAGAACACACAGAGGCCTTGCCATGCAAGGGGAAAATTGCAGAGCCATTTGGGCTCTGGATTTTGAATAAGTAGGAATTAGTCCCAATCTACTAAGCACTGATCCCCAGGCAGGTACTGCTGTGCCAAAGGGGTGAAAAATCAGTTCACTAGTAAGTCAAACAAGTCCCTGTGTCCTCCTAGCTAGGCACTGAGCCAATCTCTCCCGTTAACTAAACTTGTCAAGAAGTCTGTCCACCTAAAGGACAACTGCCTGGAACAGATGAAATGCAGAGAAAGTTGAGCAGGGCAGAAAGGCTATTCGAGTTAACAGGGAGATGAGAACAGCTACAGCTCAGCATAAGCAGCTCAGTGGGTAATGCAGAGAACAAAGGGAATTGAGTGGGAGTTGTGAACTGTATTATAGGCAGAAGGTGATATTTCCAGGTCACTGCTGACCTTGCCATGATTAACTGGAGGAAAATCTGGTTACTGTAAATTAGGGCAGGTGTGCCAATATAGATACTTTCTTGTAAGTCTGCCAACCCCTCAGCTCTTCATACACCAGACAGATTAAGGGTCAGCTAGCTCCTGAAAACTGAAGGTTGAAAATGGTTTGTTTGGTATATGAGGATCCAGGTATGCAATAAGCTAGGTAGGGGAATGCCAACAGCAGGAGTTCCTGCTTTTGCTGACAGTGGTAGTGAATTGCAGCAATTTCAAACCAGAGAGGCAAGAAGCACTCATATTTCCCTGCCTTCCCTTCCATTAGTGAACAGCTCATGAATACTTACTAGTTCTCACACTAAGCTTCCCCACTTTGGTGGGTGGCAGCTGTCACTGGCCTTATTTTAATTTTTTTTAAACAGGGAAGCCTGCAGCAGAGAGAGAGCCTCCTTCCGCTTCCTTGGCACAAAAGTAAATGTGTGGCATTAGTGTCTTTGCATATGGAAGCTGTATTTGAAATGCTGGAATATCTAATTATTCAGCTTATTATGTTACTGAGGTCTGCCAAAACATGAGGTTCCCCTGGAATATGTTATAGAGGTGTGCTGTTAAAAGTGCTTAGAATTTTTTAAGCTACTGCTTTTGCAAGTGGAAAATTTCTTTAAGAAATACAGATCTGTACTTCTAACTGACATGCTGTAATTTAGGTAATAATCAGGGAGAGGTTATTTTAAAGGCTTTCACCCTACTTTATAGTGAAAAATGAAACTGAACCTTTACTATAAATCTGTTAGGGCTAGGCCACTTCCATAATATACACTTCACTCACACTCTAAGTTTTTCCCCTCAGTAGCATACAATATTTAGCCACTATATATTACAGTAAAGCTGATATACTATGCTGAAAAACATACCATTTCCAAAAGAAGATGCTCTTCTCTCTCTTTTTCTTGATCCAACAAATCATTTTCATAAAACCTTTTCTGAAACTGGTTGAAGTTTAAAATAAATCAATAAAACATAAATAATGCCATGCTATATCCTGCAAGTAAGAAAATGAGTAGGTACTTACAGCATCCACAGAAATTTCCATTCTGTCCAGTTCTAACACTGTCTATAAAAATAAGGTCATTTGTTAGTCATTCTAAAGGCAACCAATAACTTATGTAACATTGTTATTCAAAATATCTGTCAAGGTAGGAAAGCTTAAAATACTGACACTCAGAACTTTACTAGAAGGCCACTTCAATATTTTTCCCCACCAAGGTCCACTCAGATTCACAAAAGAGGGGCAAAATTGTGCACAGCCCAAAGTATACTATGCTTAACTAAAGAACCATCACAGAGACAGAAATAGAGACACAGGTACTAGAGTTTACTTATTACGCTAAGGTGGAAGCAGTGGAGCGTTTGAAATGATGATCTCCTGAAACCTTTAGAGGAATAACCCTATTCATTCTGTTATCTGGTACATAGCAGGAGGCAGAACCACAGTTCGATCAACTTCCTGCCTATTTTTCCCTACAGGGTGCACCTAGCATGCACCCCTGTGCAGTCTTAATCACATAGTGACACAGACCAAGTAGAGTAAAAGTAAAGCAGTAAAAGTAAAGAAAGGAGGGGAATTATTACTTCCCTGTGTGGCTCTATTGGGTTAAACTACAATCAAGCCCTAAGAAATGTACCATGTTGCTAATGCACACAGTACACACAAAGTTATAGTAGTATTTCACAAATACGAGAGAGAAATCCCCTATCTGCATATTATAACAAAAATAGAAACAGAAAAGAGGAGAATATTGATACCTGTAAGATTCTTGCTTATTTTTTTTTTTTTTTTT